GGCAAAAATGGGTGCATTACCTTTTGACCTCTACTCTGCATGGCAGAGGTGAAAAATTTAAGTGCTACTTTACTGCAAAACTGTGTCGACACTATTAAAGTATCTTGAAGGAGGGACTCAGTGATTTTTTTTGATGCCACTCTTTTTTAAAAAGTCTGATTTTTCAGTTTTAATTTTTAGTTTGAAGGCGTTTCTCTCATATTAGAATGGAGTTAGCTGACTTTTTAAGGACATTTAGAGCAAAACTTAAACCAAGGGAAAGAGAAGGAGACCGTGGGCCAGATGTGCTGTGTGCCCAGTGGAGCTCAGGACCGAGGGAGGGGCCGTCTCCCACCTGCATTTTGCCCGCCGCTGGCACAGCCCTGGCCAGCAGAGGTTTTGGGGCTTATAGTTGGGGCCGGCTCCCACACTCACCTGCTCCTTTGGGGAGCCTCCCTTTCCAGCTGCTGGGCCACCCTGAGCTCTATCTTCTGATCCTTCAACCCGTAAGATTTACAGGTACTTTTGTGTAAGTCCTAGCGTCCCTGTGGGGCACTAACGGGATCGAGTCTCAGGTGAAAAGCTGTGCCGTCCCACCTCCGGATGTTGCTCCCCCAGGCTCGGCCTGCTTTTCCTCACTCCCAGGGCCATCCAATCAGGCCTTTTTACACTTTGTCCACACCCCCTGCTTGTTACCTGTGAACCCGTGTGCCGTCCCTCAAGGCCGAACTCTGGACTTGTGGTGGATATCACAAGTCTTAGAGTAGAGCTCGGCTCCTTACTTCAGGCCCTGCTCCTGCCCTCTGTGCCTTGAGAGCAGTACTGCACTGTGCCAGAAGGGTGGCACACACACGCGCCGGAATCACATTGCAGTGCGTAATTGCAAGATGTTTATGATTCAGAGGGTTTTATGACATTAAATTAAGACTAATATTAGAGTGGAAATGTGAGTTGGTTATATGCTTTTTCTTTGTGGTACTGGGGATTGAACCCAAGGTTCAAACACTCTATCACTGAGCAAAACTTCCAGCCCTTTGAAATTTATTTTGAGGCAGAGTCTTGCTAAATTGTCGAGGTTGGAACTTGCAGATTGTACTGCCTCAGCCTCCAGAATAGCTAGGACTACAGGCATGTACCACCACCTCCAGTTTAACATATCTGTATTCTTAGACTGAGGAGGACTCATGGATGAAACCCCTAGAATATGGTCTCCAAATGGCATAACCTAATTGAGAAACTCTCCTAGCCAGTTTTTAAAATAACCATTGATAAAATTCTTATGAAGATAATATAGCAGTATCTTTCAAAATTATTAATGCATTTAACTTTTGAGTCATACTTTCACCTTCAGAATTTATTCTATATATAAACATTTCTTTTGGGTTTTTTGAGACAGGGTCTCACTATGTAGTTGAGACTGCCCTGGAACTCACTCTGTAGCCCAGGCAGGTCTCGAACTCACAACGATCCTCCTGCCTCAGCCTCCCAAGTGCTGGGATTACAGGCATGCGCCACCACGCCCGGCTCTCTATATAAACTTATACCTACATAAGTGGGCATTTATATGTAGTTTTCCATTGCCACATCGCTTGCGAAGGGTGATGTCTTCCCTTTTGTTTGTTTGGTTTTTTTTTTGGTACCAGGGATCGAACTCTGGTCCTTGTGCTTGTGAGGCACACAGTGGGCTACATTGCTTATAATAATAATAGAGGAAAAACTATATAATGTTTACCATATATTGGTGTTACAGAATTTAGTGTTTACCATGAAGTAAAAGGTTACAATGAAAATTAGCAATTATTTTTAACATAATGGTAATGAAAATATTTGTCAAATCTTGTGAGATTAGTTAATCTGTGCATGGAAGATATATATTTTATAAATGTATAGCTTATAAAAGGCACATATCAGAAAAGAAGACTGAAAATCTGGGATCTAAACATTTATCTCAAAAAGTTAGAAAACAAATTAAATTCAAAGATGGAAAGCAGGAAAAATAACAATGAGACAAAACATAATAGAAAGAACAACAATACCAAGAAATTATTTTTTGAAAACACAGTAAAATAGATCAACTTTTCCATTTTTGATCAACAAAAGAAGAAAGCCTGTATTACCAGTATAAGGAATGACAGAGGGATTCCATTGCAGCTTCTGTACTTACTAAAATTACAACTCTTCCAAAAGGAGGAATATTTCCTACCTCATATCATGAGGCTAGCATGATGTTAATACCGAAACCTGAACCAATTTATAGGCAGACCTCTTTTGTGATCATAGATACAAAACTTAGCCAAGCATTATATAAAAATACATGTTATGTAGTAAGAGAATACATTCCAGAAATGAAATTTTGATTTTAAATTTAAGCCAGGTGTGGTGGTGCATACCTGTAAATCCCAGCACCACTCAGGAGGCTGAGGCAGGAGGATCGCTGTGACTTTGAGACCAGCTTGGGCTACATAGTGAGTTCCAGGTCAGTCTCAACTACAGGTTTTTGAGACCCTGTCTCAAAAAAAAAAAAAAGTAGTTTTTGGGTTTCTTCAATTTGATTGATGATGCATACAAAACAAACTCAACTACATTTTTAAGACCCTGTCTCAAAAAAAAAAAAAAAGTAGTTTTTGGGTTTCTTCAATTTGATTGATGATGCATACAAAACAAATCTCCAGTACCATTCTAGTGGACTAGTTGGTGTTCCCCTGAAGGGTTAAGAATGAGAGGTGAGGATGCTGGTTATTGCTGCTGTTCTTCAGAATTGTGTAGAGGGTTCCAATGGAGCCGTAGGCAAGAAAAATCAGACCCTAAGCACAGGAAAGGCGAGAGCAAAAGTTTGTCTGCTGTTACATTAATTTATCTTCCTTCTTGCAAAGTAAAGGAGGACAGAGAGATGACAAGTTGGTTTCTAAGCTCAGATGAGTCTTCTAATCAAATGATCAGCTAAGTTTGTGAGCTTTCAACACCAGACCCGAATACCTGAGCTGAGCCGATCGCCTGTGTTATTGTGGCTCACAGATTTGAGGTCTGGTCCAGGGTTGGTGACCCATTGCTTTAGGACCCACACCATGGCAGGAACACGTGGCAAAGCCAAGCCAGTCACCTCATGGCCAGGAAGCAAAGAGAAAAGCAGAGTGGGAGGCCATCCCCCGAGAGTTAAAGACCCCAGACAGCACCCACGGGGCACCAAGCCTCAGCCTGTGGGCCTTCGGAGATGCTGACGATCCAAACTGCAGCGAGACAGAGAAAAGACAATGGCAGACATGAGATTTCTGGCGCCCTTTCTCAGGGAGCTGCTGCAGTTGGGTGCCGTGAAAGTGAGAAGGGAGGATGGGCTGTGGGGAGGACAACTCCATTGTAGAAGTCCAGGCCATGACCCAGGACGACAGGGAGGGACTTCATAGAAAGAAAATGACAGCTCTCAGATCCTGGGTGGTTTTGTTTGAACGTGGCTCTGCACATTCGCATTCTGCACATCCGTTTCTGGCGCCTTTCACACCAGGCCCGATTGAGTAGCCAGGGCAGAGACCAGACGACCTGCCACGCCCAAAACACTTTCTGCCTGGCCTTTTAAGAAAAGATGTGGAGCAATCTGGAGAGTTGATCTAGTCAGTTGGCGAAGAGCTTGAATTAGGTGTATATTCACAGGACTTCAGGCAGATGAACAGCTGTATAGTTGCTGAATAAAAAGGAGCAAGCAGGGAAAAGTAGCTGTGACTCACCACACGGGCTGACGGGACCATAAAGTAATTTACAGTGTTAGGATGTATTGTGCTGCGCACCTGCGTTGGGACAGTGGGGAGCGTGTGCGTGTGTGGTGTGAACAGGAAGACAATAGCTACGGCCACAGCCCAAGAGGAAACACGGTGACAAATGCCAGCTGATTGGATGCAAGAGAGGAACATCGATGCCTTGGGGAGGGAGAAACGGAGAGCGGCAGGACGGACATTCGTAGGCACACCTTTTGCAGACTTTACCTTTCACACCGCTGACGTGGTTATGGCTGCATCTAGATGTCCACCCAATTCTCGCGTGGTCTCGGGTGGGACTTTTTCAGAGGTGACCGAATCTGGAGTGTGTGACTCAGGGTGTGAGTGCTGCCCTCCCTTGGTAGTGTGCATAAGGTAGAGGAACAGAAAGATTTCCCTTGTTGCTTTTGCTGTGCGTGGCCGTGAACTGTTGCCCCTCCACCACCCTGCCTTGGACCCGGATGATGGACCGGAGCCTCACACACTGTGAGCCCAGTAAACCTTTCCTCCTTTAACGTTGGGTGTCAGGTGTCTGTCTCAGCGATGAGAGAAAAGCACCCAGCGCAGTCTCCCTGCTGCCCTTTTCCCTCTCCCTTCCGCGGGTGTCACCAGCCACATCAGTTTCATTTCCTGTTGACTGAGACGTGGAGTGGTGATCCTGCACCTCTTTAGTTAAGATTGCCTCTGCTCATGAAGCCGGTGTCTGACCTGACCAGTGAGAAGCCACTGATGTGGGCAGATTCGGTCCGCTCCCGCTTGCGCACCAGAGAGCACTGTGAAGGTGCATCGTGCCGTCTAGCGTTTGACTGATGGGAACAGGTTCTGATAAAGCTACGTTCCCACACACGCTCCCACTTAAACGTGTGAACGTAGAAAGACACAGTTTTTCTCGGAAATTCTTTACTTACACAGAACAGTTTCAAAGTGTATCTTCAGGGCCAGGGATTTAGCTCATTGGTGCTGCACCTACCTCACAAGCGCAAGGTCTTGAGTTCGATCCTCAGTACAGGAGAGAACAAAAAAACAAAGTTTATCTTTAGCATCTTGAACGGGATCTAACTCATAATAAGCTAGTGAATGTTCGAATGAGTACATAAGTGAATTCTATTACATAATCAACAATTTTAAAAAAGCCAACGGGCCATTTCTTGCAAAAGCAAAAGGTGGTTTGGTAAGTTTATTCGATTTTCATCACCAAAGCTATGTTGTGATTCTAGTGACTTCCACTGCTAAATTAAAGTAGTTTCTGTCTTTCTTTTCCCTGACTCTTAATAGGATTTTTCCAATTAAGGATGTGCCCCTGGAGACTGATGACCTTACCAATTGGCTCTATCAACGGTTTATTGAAAAAGAAGACCTCTTAGCCCATTTTTATGAAACAGGTACACAGTCCCTTCCGTTGTATGCGTTTCTGGATTTACTGGAAATTCCAGAGGCTTGCTGTAGGGAAGAGAACCATTTTTTTTTTAAGGTATTCCGAAGAAACGAGAGTGTCTCTGTATTTAAGAATTTCATCTTAGCATGCTTGTGAAGACAGATGTGTGTTGGATGCAGCGAGTCCCCTGTCAGCCTGTTACAGGGGTCTCAGGCTGAGAAGGAGGCACGGGAGGGGTGTGGCTGGAGAGCTCATGGCGCAGTCTGTGAATGACCGCAGTTTCGCATGTACAACTGTGGGATTTTTTAATTTATGAAGTGGCAAGGAACATTCATGCTTTGACGTTGCACTTGATTATTTAAGTACTATATTAGTCATTTGAGGTCATTTTAAACTACATTTTTACAGGTATATTCTTTATATAGAGAGATAGTGTCACTTTTTAAGAATACATAGAAATTTAGTCTTTTCTCCTTTGAATAAAAAGGTATATTATCCTAAGCTTCCTTCTGTTTTGTTTTGTTGGGGTTTTTTGTTTGTTTGTTTGCACTTGATTATTTAAGTACTATATTAGTCATTTGAGGTCATTTTAAACTACATTTTTACAGGTATATTCTTTATATAGAGAGATAGTGTCACTTTTTAAGAATACATAGAAATTTAGTCTTTTCTCCTTTGAATAAAAAGGTATATTATCCTAAGCTTCCTTCTGTTTTGTTTTGTTGGGGTTTTTTGTTTGTTTGTTTGTTTTGTTTTTGTTTTTTTGAGACAGGGTCTCATTATGTTGTTGAGACTGACCTGGAACTCCCTGTGTAGCCCAGGCTGGTCTTGAACTCACAGCGATCCTCCTGCCTCAGCCTCCCGAGGGCTGGGATTACAGTCATGCGCCACCACCCCCAGCTCCCTTCTGTTTTTAACATTATCTACATTCTATAAAAAATGAAATTCTCGGCCAGGCGTGGTGGCGTACGCCTGTAATCCCAGCCCTCGGGAGGCTGAGGCAGGAGGATTGCTGAGTTGGAGACCAACCTGGGCTACATAGTGAGAACTTGTCTCAAAAAAACCAAATAAATAATTAATTAATTCTATAAAATGCCCCAGTGTGGTGGTGCACACCTGTAATCCCAGCTACTTGGGAAGCTGGGGCAGGAGGGTGACAAAGTGGAAGTCAGCCTGAGCTACATAGTGAGACTGTGTCTCAGGTTTTTGTTATAAAGGAGTGGGGAGGTGGAATCCTGGGTTCAATCCCCCATACTATAAAAGAAAGCAAAATTTCTATAATGCAGTAAGAAAAACATGAAGAGGGGAAGAGAGGGAAGGAGGAAGCTGACCGTGGTAGAATGCCTGGCACGATCCGAGAGCGCTCATGGATTGCTGTGTCTGCCGGCACCCAAGCAGGGAGAAGAGAAGAGGCGGCCTGGGTCTGAGGGTGGCCGTGGGGCTTTAGGCTGAGCGAAGGCTGAGAAGACTCGGTCCTTTTCCACCTCTGTCTCTCACTCAGGCTGTTTGGCCTGCATTGTAGCAACAATAACAGAAGCGTCTTTTTAGGAAAGCTACTTGCACGTTAGACCTTGGGAGGTGGGAGCGCTCTCTGGATGCCCCCGAGTAGAAAACGCCCTGTGGAGCAGCTGACAACCGTTATCCGCAGGGGCTGTGGTCAGCACTGCTCAGAAGCTTGGCTTCTAGGAGAAAGTGCGGAGGCATCTGTTTACTTAGTATTTCTGTTTTATTATTAAGATACGTTTCATAACCATTCTGCCTTTTGAAAATAATGTCAGTATAACATGACCACTTTTTGTGGCACAAAAAGCAACTTGCCAGTAAAGGGATTAGTACAAACTCTGCGCTCTCAGGAGGGCTGGTGTCTGTCACCGTTGCCAGTCGGCCCTGTGGGATCCGTTCAAGCGTCTGTGAGCAGCAAGGCAGCTGTGGGGCAGGAGAACGGGAGACCTCGGAGTGGGGAAAGTTCCAGGAAGGAAATAAGCCTGGAGGAGGGAGGGTGGGCGCCGGCTGGTTCTCCTGCTCTGGGGAGAAGGCAGAGGCTGGGTGTGAAATTGTGCTGGGCAGGAGGAACCATGTTCCAGGTGAAAGTGTCGGAAATAAGCAGAGTTAAAGTAAGGTCCACCTTGCATTCCGGGAGGCCTGGCCCCACAGGGAATATTTTTGTCTTGTCTTTTAGGAGCCTTTCCGCCTCCCAAGGGCCGTGAGGAAGCCGTTTCCCGGGAGATGACCCTCAGCAGCGTGTGGATATTCCTCATCCAGTGTTTCGCGTTTCTGTCAGGCTACATGTGGTACAGCATCATGCAGTATTTTTACCATTGCCTCTTTTAGATACTGACTCGGACTTCACAAGGCCGCCATAGGAATTCAGACTTCCGTCAGTGTGCATTATTTACATGTGCAAATCAGAATATATAAAAAGCAAAGGAGATTCAATGGATGGATTAATATTTATCCTCCTTTGGGATATTTTAAAACGCTACTGAAATGAGGATCAGTAATAGAACGACCTGCTAATATATTTTAAGAACTTTTCATGTCTTAAAGCGATACGCTCCACCACATACTTAAGCAGCCATCACATCTGGAGAAGTGGGAATCCTAAAACGCCCTGGAAGATGGAAGGAAACTGTCGCCATCAGATGCTGAGGTCTTTGGGTTCTGGCTCAGGGCTGTGTCCGCCCCTTGCAGGCCCCGGCCATGCCCACCTGTGCCATGGCTTCCGCAGTGCGCGGAGGAGCTGCAGAGGGGCGGCTCCCTGCCTTGGGCGGGAACAGACTGCCGGAGCAGGCCGTGCTCTCCGGCCCTGTGTTTACCTGTGCTAGCGCCTCCCCTTCCCCCTCGTCCGTGTAGAAGGCGTATCATAGATTGGTCATCGGATTTTACAAAGCGCACTTTGTCAGATGCTGATATAGCCAAGGACAGTAACCTACCCTCGAAACACAAGTGAGCCTCGGCAGCGAGCTGGCTCCTGGAGGCTCCCCTGTCTCTGTCCACTCGCCCGCTGGTGCTGTCCAGTTCCCACCCTGCCCTACACCCTTCCTGCTGCGACGCCCCATTCGTGGTGAGAGCCCTCTCCCCATTTTGACGTAGCACCAAATGCACTTGGGGCTGGTTGACACAAATTAATGCAGAACATTTACGTGGTCAGCTGAGAGTAGACTAGTTTGTTAGGAAACTGAGCTAGCACCAAGCGTTGGCCTGGAGCAGTGACCAGTCCTCGGGCCACACCGCCGACCCTGGCCAGTCCCGGGTGTCGGTCCCGCATCCGTGCCCGCCCCTTTCCTCGGGCACAGCCGGGAGAGAGCGGTGCAGGGGCTTCCGGCCTGTGCCAGCTGCTGTTGAAGAGGAGAAAGTTTCAGTTCTTTCCAGGAGACCTTTATTTGTCACTATATTCATCTGATTTACCTCACTGGCAAACCAAACTCCTAGAAAGTGCTGGCACTGCGTTCGTGTGAGCTCGAAGACGTCCTTTGGCCGAGGACTGTGAGGCTGTCGAGATCTGTCAGTGGTAGTCTGTGATAAGAGCACTGTAGACTCCCTTGTCACTGATTTCACGAATAGTAATCCTGAGAAGTAGGCTGTAAAATAAAAATAAAGGCCAATGCTTTGTTTTCAGGCAAACCAAAAAACAAAACAAAAACTGAAAAGATGTGAATTTCCCCAGTTACATGGGAAAGGTGGAGCAACACCAAATAGAAGCCCACAGCAGCTTCATCTTTAGGGTAGGTCAGAGCATACGTGAAGAGCAGGATGCGTTCGCTGAAATACCTCATGGGATACTTCCTGCTGCTCAACTGCAGGCGACAGTGTTAAGATGAGTGGCTCGGTAACAGTTGTTATAGAAGGCAGTGTTTTCAGAACCTGGGTAACCTGTATTCTGCAGTGACAGTAGGTGAAGCCAGGCTCACCAGAAAGCCAAAGAGAAGCTGTCTGACACTTGTGTTTGAGGCCCGGCAAACACCAGTCAGTTTCAGGGTGAATTGGAGTTCATTTGTGGCATTAGCCGACCCTCTAGGAGGAGCTGCTCCCTGACACGTAAGCGTGCACAGTCCTAGCGACCAGACCTGTCCTCGGTACGAAGCCAGCCACAGGCGTAGTGGCCAGTCCTGTCCCCAAAACCGAATCCATGTGCAGGTACAGGTAGCTTGGGTCACTTCGCCATTGCTGTGCTCCAAAGGAACGTGAGAAGCACTCTACGCCGTAAGCTCACCTGTAGGGTGCTTGACTTTCCCAGTGCCTGTCATTTCCATAGTCCCACCTGTGTGGACACACCCACACCTGTGTGAGCTGACCTGCGAACACAGAGCTGTGAGTTGTGAACAGGTGTGTTTGATTTGCCCTAACCTTCCATTCTTTCTGAACATGTCCTGTCTCCCATTCTCAAAACACGTTATTTGAGAATATTGGTCGTGTTTTCCTGGTTAACCCCAGTTCATCCTCTTGCACTGGAAATGTGGAGAGAATCAGTATTCTTTTATGGCCTTCGGGGAGGCAGCAAGATGGCCACCGTGCAGAGCTGACTAAAGATTCCTACTTGCACTGTCTTTATAAAGAGGGATGAATGAAGGTTTTACATCTTGACAGGGCGAAAGAAGAGAAAACTGTTCCCAGTTCCCTCACACTTCTGGTCCCAGCCAGCCGCCCAGGTTGTGCGCCTGCTGTTGTCCTGGTGTCAGTGAGTGACAGTGTGTGAGCACCTGTTTAGTCATGGGCGGGCCAGTGACTCACCCTTAGCTTCAGAAAGAGTTGGTGTCACACACACATGATGGGGATACCTACAAACAGTGGGAGGAAAGCCACAGTGGGAAATGAGGCTTGGAGGACAAACTAGTCAGTTGAGAATTTAAATAGCTTTTTTAAAGGTAGCTGTTGAGCTCTGGGCATGGTGGCGCACGCCTGTAATTCCAGCACTGGGGCGGCTGAGGCAGGAGGATTGCTGAGTTCGAGACCAGCCTGGGCTACATAGTGAGTTCCAGGTCAGTCTCAACTACATAGTGAGACCCTGTCTCAAAAAACAAAATAAAGGTAACTGTGAGTTCATATCTGTCCTATTATTAAGTAGTTACTAATATTGCAACCAGTTCTTAATTTTCCATTTTCTTAATTATGGCATAATTAATTATATACTTGGTAAACGGAGACTAAATTATAGGTAAGCCAAAAATTCAGTTGTATGTAGGAGTTTGAATTTCTTCTCTGCTCAGTCTTTTTTTTCTTCTAGGATGCTTACTAATTTAAAAAAGTGATATGAATTGTTCACTAATTTCTTTTTCCTGTGTATTTATGATTGTGTTATTGAGTAGCGAAAGGGCACGGAAACACAGATAGCTGAGCAAAGTCCGTGCTGGCAAAGTCAACCTGGATGAAGAATTGACTCCTTAGGTCCCCCACTATCACCTCGGAAGGTCCCTCTGGTGTCCTCCGTCTGGACAGGTGTTGAGAAGGCCACTCAGTCCTCGCTCACACCACTCCCCTCTTGTGGGTTTGTCTTGGTGAGGTTTTCGACAATCACTTCCCTAAAGACTCTTCTGAGTGAGTTGGCCCTGGTAATCATGGAAAGTAGTCTTTAATAATGGGTAGTTTTCTTGTATTGTTTTTATATTTAAAAAGAAAATGTTTTTGCACTACTGAATAGGAAGAGTTAACTGTTTTCTTTGTTCTTGTTTTGAAGTCAGTACACAGGACTTCACTCCAGAGTTAACATTGCCCGTAGGTTCAGCTCTGGTCCACAAAGGCTGGATAGAAATGGTTAGAAAAGGCCCTCGTGCTATGGGCCTTTGGTCTCTTAACATGCAGCGCAGAGTCCAAGACAGCACAGGGCAGCAGGTTAATGGTTCATTTTATGAGAAGTAGAGACTAATATTTGGGACCAAAGCCACCCAAGTTGGAACTTTCTCTATCACAGAAGGGCCGAGCGTACTCTGGAGCGGTCATTGGTTGGTGCTTACTAGAATCATTTCGTACCAGTCCCCAGCAGTTAGGAGCCAGACCTGCAGTAGGCTGAGGGTGCTGACCTGTTCGGGAAGAGGGACGGTAGCCATATGGAAGAGAAAATGTGGGGTTTTCTGCAAAATTTCCATCTGAGGATTTTTACGTTGAATATTTTTTTAAATGCTTTAAAGAGCAAAAAATTTTTAAGTGTAGTTGCAAAATATGCACACGTTTTGAATTGCTTCGTTTTTATTGTGTGAAACTGTTAACACATGACTGTGGTGCACAAATTCTTTCCATGTAAGGAGTCTATGCATTTTACACGGACTTGTTTTATGATTAGGTAACAAACGAGACAGACATTCAACTGCCATTATTTTTATTAAGTGCTTTCCTTTTCTTTACAGTTATTACAAGGTTGTATTTATTTTATACAGATGCATTTTCATGTTCTTGATGCTGTACTGTTTACTTGAGCTTGCTGCCCTTTTGTGTCTCTGCATGTTGTAATGTGTGGTAAGGACGAGTGTCGGGGCTGTGGAACTGTAACTGATGTTGTGAAGGGCTGGTCACGCGTGGTCTGGTTTGTGGGTGCGTTTGGGACGGTTTCAGGAACCGGATCACCTTTTCAGAAATTTAGATGTGAACCAAAAGCAAAAAATAGATAGCTGGCTCTATTTTTTTTTAACCTTGAGAAAATAAAGTTGATTTTTTTTCAAGTGCAGCACTGTTACTTCTCCATGAGGGCCAGGGTGTCTGTGTTGTACAGAGCTCCTTGGGCAGCCGCAGCTGGGAGCATGCGGTCCGTCTCCACGCAGCAGGCTGCTGAGCAGCGAGCGGGCAGCACAGATGGCAGAGGGTTTGCCCCCCGCCCTCTGCCCTCCCTGCCAGCGGGGTGGTGGTCAGTGCTGTGTGTACACACGTCCATGAGGTTGTTATAAATCTTACTGATAACAAGGTTGTGTAACACAATTAACAAATAATAAAATACAACTGTTTTATTGTAAATTCCACATAGCCAGTTGACTCTGATCAGATACCTGATTGCTTCTTGCTGAACCTTATAGCTGACTTTGGTTGTACTTCAGCCATGATTTGAATGTTGGTGTCACCTCCTAATCCCCTGAACTCATCTCCCTGTCTAACACATAACCTTTTAAACTCTGTTTTTGGGGGCTGGGGGCTTCACATACATTCACTGTACCACTAAGCTATCCCCAGTCCCAGGCTCTTAATGCTTGTACAAAACCACTTTTTAGCTTCAGCACTAATTCAAGTTTATATCATTTAATAACAATTGTTTAACAGCTGCTGAAAAAATTATAAAATTTTATAAAATTATAAAATGATTGGCTCCTGGGAGCCAGGACAAGCTGTGTGCAGAACACCACTGCCCTGGTTCTTACTTTGTTTTATGTTAAACTGTTTAATGATTAGTGTTGAATAAACTCATAGTCTAGCCATAGGTCTGAGGAAACCTCTGTTACTGACCTTGGTGGGAACTGTAAGGGGTGGGAAAAGGATTAAGATCCATCCTACCTACTGAGTGATCCTTTGATTTTGGAGACTGACAAGAACAAGCTTTCCTGAAGTACGAGGGAAGATTACAGTTTCTAAAGCTGGCTTTGTGTTTTCATCTCTCAAAGCCAAGCAACTGTAGTCTAAGCATCACTGAGATTTTGTTTTATGAATTCCAAGCATTGAGTATTGAGTTACTTGATTGCCAAGTATGTTTGATTCCACTGAAGACTTTAGATGTGTTGATTTATCTTGCGCACTCTGCCAAACAATTTGACTCATTCCAGTTCAGTCTACCTCTTTCTCTGCCTGGACTTAGGCCGTGTGGTGGTGAGGGTCCTGCCCCCGGAAGTACTTTCTGTGGGAGACAGCAGATACGGGCCAAGGCCTGGAAGCAAACTGAAGCCTTCAGAGATCCGTTGCTGACCAGCCCTGTTCTCGTGAGTTGGGGGAAGCCACTGTTTACAATTCCCCCTAAGTTTGAAAGTGTATGTTTTTAAAATGTTTCTGCTGAAAACTGTATTTTTAAAAGAAAAAAGAAAATGATCTTTTGGCTCTCAGAAGTCTGCTGTATGAGCAGGTGTGACCATATCATGACATGCTGATATGATAGAAATCAATAAATTTTTACCTCTCAGCATCTGGGTCACCTTGTTCTTAACTCTTAGAGGCTTGAGAGAAACAAACGAAATCTCCGCAGTGGTCACAGGGAACAGACAGGGAACTCGGGAGGTGCTTGGCAACCCCAGGAAGGAGACAGACCTCTTGTAACCCTGGCTTCTGCTGGCAAGCGCGGAGCCTGGCCCAGGCACAACCTCCCCGCCGGGTCCTGGCTGCCCGTCAGGCTTGGGATGCGCCCAGGACACAGAGACAGCCAGTGACACCTTCCACAAGAGAGGACACGGTCACTCTGGCGATGCCGCTGCTGCCTGTTGTGTCATTGGGAACAAGGCTGTGACACCAGGCCCACCACCTCAGCTGTGCCACAGCTCTGCACGGTGGCTTTGTATGGGGCAGCTCACGGACGGACAGCTGAGGGGAGGGAGTGGCAGGAGACAGGCAAACAGGTCTGCAGCCTTCGGGGACTGTCACACACACTGTCCTGTCCGGGTGTGTCCCCCTGAGCTCCCCGTGAGGACCTCCGCATTTCAGGTGGGAGAAAGGGACCTCGCAGCCACCAGACCTCCTTCTCCAGGGTGCCCAGCAAAGGAACGTGGCCCCACTGCTGCTGGTCAAGGCATCTGACCCACGGTAGGGCTATGTGCCTTTCCACACCTACTCCAGCAAGGACAGAGGATGTTGCGTGGGTCTGAGGGTGCTCCAGGGCCCCAACAGCACAGAAGTCCAGGTCACCAGCATAGGCCACTTTGCTGCTGTGTGTGTTTGGTTCCAGCAAGTCACAGCCAGTGTAGAGCAGCATGTGGTCCCCACAGGTGTGGCTGGTTGGAAGGTGCCAGTGAGACAGCCCGAGTTAGGACCAGAAGAGCCCTCTCGCTTTGACAAGTTTGCACACGATTGCTATTAATTGGAGATGTTTTAAGTTTCCCAATACTTTTAAGAGGAGTAGATCTCGCCGGGCATGGTGTCACACCTGTAATCCCAGCACCTGGGAGGCTGAGGCAGGA